CACAAATCAGTTTCCAATAAAGGATTGGTGTGTGATGACAATGTACCTACAAAGATTGGCAGTTTGGCAAGTAATGCGGTCGTACAACGTATTGATGCATGCTGTGAGATTTTCGTATCAATGGTCGGGAAATACCTTTTTATTGTAATAGTGATTGTCATACAAATAATAGATATTGTAATGAGAACGTTTTTGACTTGACTTTTCATTATAATAATTGCTGGAGAAGCGACTAATTGGTCAATATATTAATGATGCTAATAAATGAGAAGGCACAAAGTGTGACAAATGTATTGTATGCATCCACAAAAACATGCAGGAACGTACAGCATCGAATACATAGGCTTTTAAATTATATTTAATAGTTACCGGTTCATTCACGGCGCAGCCCGTTCTCAAAATTTTCACTACTTGTTCATGAAACGACCCCTATTGTCCAAAAAATCACTCACCCACCTCCGCCCCCCGTCTTTGTTATCATTTGTGGGAGAGCGATCCCTTACTTTTTTAGTTCGACTCGAGAACTACTGTCATGACCATTATCTACTCGCCAACGAACGGGGACCGTAAAAAAAAAACAAACTGTTTTCAGCAAGTTTGATTTTAATAGATAGACTTTGGGGGGAGAAAAAAAAACGTCGATCACAGCATTGATTGGCCAAACCGTTATACCAAAAAAAGGGGGATAACATCACAAAGACGAATCCCCCAAACTTTAAATTTTTCAAAGATGCAGACCACCGCGATGTGAACATGCATCGCCGAGTGGCACATGAAATTAACTATGGGCTAAGCACCAGAGATACCCAATGTATTCGTAGTCAAGTATGAGTTTACAAAACCCCCTCAACGAAAATGTCTGCACCGAGAACTCGTACATTTTCATCGTCCGAGGTAAAACCGTGAGTAATCACGGCGTGCAAATTAGTAATTGTAGGAAAATCATGTGGGGCCATCGCCGAGTCTGTTCAAAATATGTTGGTCAAAGTCTTAAACATTGCAGATTACTAAACCTTATTAAAGATTCTACATGTGCGAGTTTTAACGATTAATGCCTCCTGTGCAATCATGATTTTTTAACTATTGGATGCTGTCATACGAAAACTGTTTGCAATAGACAGTACATGACGTCGTGAACACATGAAGATCAGCTATCAATATGCACTATTCAACAAACTTGGATGAGTTGTGACGGTCCGAATTCTAACGGATAATCGCACACTCATGTCGTCGTCCCACTTTTATTAATGTATCAAAAAAATTTTTTTTTTCCAAAACGAACAGGGGGAAAGGGCGTGAGCTTATCGAACCATAATTTATCTTTGAGCCAATAAGAATGCTGTTAAACAACACTGCACAAACCCATTCCGTAAACGTATCAGTACAAGATACAAAAATGGTGTTTGCAATCGTTATTGTCATGTCTAAAACGTCTTATAAGACAGGGATTATCAGGTTTTCCCACATGGAGTTACAAATAACGACGAGAATCTAAAAGCAATAAAGCTCTAAATTAATATGTGAACATGAGGTGTGTGCTGAAAATAAGTTTATGCCAATAAAATAAACTATTAAACCTGATACCGCCAAGCTTCTGCTTCTTTTGTATAATCGTTTAAAGAATACTCTTTTTGTCCTTGTTAAAACGGTTAACACAAGTTTAAAATATATAATCTTTGAGTTTCATGGTTCTTACACGACTTCCAAAAAGGTTATATTAACATTGTTAGAATTTAATTATTAATTATATAACCATATTTTCAAACATATTACAATAATATTCATTATAATCGTTACATATATAATTAATGTATATATTTGCTAAACTTATTGTATATGCATTATATTATGTGTATGACCATCTTTTAATTTCTGCATACTAATACATGTATTTTACAAGCGTATAAGTCTGACCATTTCCCCGTATTCCTAATTTTGTTTATATTAAAGTACATAGCATTATTCCTTATTATATCTTGTTTCTTTAATATGCAATTAATAACATGCAAGTCATCAACTCTTTAAAAAAAAAAGGCTGAGCACGTAGAATACAGTAAGCCGGTATGAATGTGTAATGCAAAAAAAAAAAAACCTGCTCTGAATTTTAATATAAACAAATCTTATCGGCAGCCATGTGAAATTTACTTTATTTAAACAACTATAATAATAAAGCATTTAAATATTTTAACCAATAGTTTAATGTGTCAACTAACGTGTGAAACTAAGAAATTAATAGTAATGGTTAACTGTTTAACAACAGTGTATCTGCCAAAGTATACTATAAACAAATAATAAAGATTCTTTTTTAAGATTTAAGAAAACTTGTAAAATAAGAAACCTAAACATCAAACACGCTTTACAAAAAAAGTAATTGAAACAATTATAAATCATTTATTATAGTTAAAAAATAGTTATTGAAGAATTAATGACCCAATAAAAGTACATGCTTTACAACTTGACTCACTAAACTTGTTACAATAATGTGCAAAAACAAGCGTAAATCAAATTATTACACGTGTCAAAACTGCTGAATGCAAACTTGCATTATTATTATTGTTTTGTTTAGTCGTCCAATATTAATACATTTGAAAGCAAGTAAGCCAAAAAGTGCACAGTTATTGTTACATATTACAAGCAGCCTTTACAATTATTATCTTTGACGTCACTACTATCGATGTTATTCAAAATGTTTTCATATTTGCATGTATGTTAATAGGTCAATGTTTATATAAGGAAAAGTGTATACTAAATACTCTTGTAATTTGAAACAATGAAAAAATTATTAATCCCTTCCTTAGATGTAAACAAAATTTTTAGCTAAAAAAAAAAGGTAAAGTGTAACTCTATAAAATTATTTCAGCACTGCTCTAATATTTTGTGTCTACTTTCCAAAATATATCTGTTTAATCTTGCCTGAGCATTTCACGTTTGTAAAATATAATAATAAATTAATTTTTAAGGGGTTTATTATATAACACTTTTCCTTTACGTTCTAAGACTTAAAATCTAAAAATTTATTTTTAATCAAACTTTCTCGAATTAGTTAACTATCAACCTTTGAATATTTTATACTCACTCATCACGCATTTGCGTATACTTTATATTAATCAGACAAGTCGAATATTCTGAGGATGTAAACTAAAATGATTGATCTAGCCAAGACACAATGAAGATCTTGCTGAGTTGTATAGCCTTGGCTAAGGAGCAACCCATAAACCAATTGTTACGGCAAGCGTCTCCAATGAGTCGGATCATCTGATAAAATCTTTCTTCAGACTGCGAACAATTTATGAATTCAATTACACGGATAGCGGAACGAGTTGCTTTATAATTAATTCTCGACAGCAACAGTAAATTCTTGTTTAATTAGCTGTATAAGAGTGACTACTACACGGCTAGTCAATAAAAGATTGCATCTATCAATTACACTCTTGCTTGTCATTCTTTAATTTATTCTTTTGAACAATAAAGTCTGAGTTTGCATTAGATAAAGTGGTACTATTTTTGTTGTTAGAAATCTCTCTTGCTTATTTCCTAATTTTTATTTAACAAACTATTTCTCAATTAATTTATTTGGTCTATGAGCTTGCCCAATCCAGCATTGTGTTTTAACACTGTTTCAGGCATTTTAATTTGGCATCCACAGTTTCTTCAAACAGGTGGCATAATTATAAAGTAATCGGTTGTATCATGGTTCTTCTTGCTCCATTCCCAGTTGATTCTCTTACTAAATTTCTTCATAATTGCATGCTTTATTAGTAAAAACTTTTTACAATATTTTCAAGAGTCAAGTCCATTCTTTTCTGGATAACTTACGGTTGTTAGTTTTTGCAAATCAATTATATTAACGGATAACTTATTATTATTAACTGTCCTGAATCCAATAACACGTCATTATGCGGAAAGAGTAATGTTTCAGATTGCATATTAGTTGAGCAAATGTTGATAAAGACTCAAACATAAAACGTAAGCTTTTTCTATCTGTATTGGAAATATTAAAGTTAAGATGGTAGAACAGTCCTTTGTATACCACCATGACTAGGGCAGCGATAACTACGTGATGGCTAATCCTCTGTCTACTCCGTTTTTTTAGGAATAAAATTCCGCCACTTGTAAATCTTAGAATGGTACTTTACATGCGGTTGAGTACATGCGTCAATATATCTTTGAAAAGAGAAGGTTTGCTTTTAGTCGGCGGGCTAGTTATTGGACTATGAGAATCATATGCATTCTCGATCGCAGAATCATAAAAGAGTTGATAATCAATAAATTTTGCACTCTCAAAGGTAAAGTTCAATCCATCGGTAGCAGAGTGTTTTTCCATGGAAATAAATTGATGCTTACGATATTTGGACATAAATTTACACGTGATTGCTATGCCCGCGGAAACATGATAACCATTTTATGTATAAGGCTAGATTCATATCACACCGTACATGAATACGGGCTTTAATGGAAATAGTCAACTGCGTAAAGCCTTTCCTGTTATGTTTACAATACAGGCTTTTTATCGGAGCACACTGCATGCTGGAATAGGCTTGTGCATTATTTAAAAGACAATGACTGCAGTTATGGGAATGTAGATGTGACGCGTATCGTATCGTGACATCTCACATTCACAAGAACGAGTTTGTGGAATAAATGCCAACATTTTCTGAATAGTATTTACTTGACAAGCTAGAAATTTACATACAGGGTAAGCGGAATACAGGATCCAGATTGTTATCGAGCATAAGTTAATAGTCACAATATGTGTTTTAAGCACTGCCCTTCTGATCAAGCTATTATCTATACAGGTAACATATTCGCAAGTAGTATATAATAATTTTGGACAACAATCCATTCAACTAAATAGCGGCTGCGCCGAACCCTCATATTTTTCATAAGACCTCACACGATTCTCCAATCATTTATAAAGTTCTAAATTTTCCTTTTGAACAACTGCGATATTACGCTGTATATTTCATTCCTACTCGTAATGACGCCGGATCATCACTATTCTATTTCTTTTTAAGCGCTCTCTTGCTCTTTCTATTACGCGTTGATGTCACTTCAACGTAATCTTCTTCGCCAGTTACCGCGCCAGGTCCATCTCCGTTATCGGAAGGTTTCAGTTTGACGTCTTCTTCTCCGCCTTCACTTGAACTCTCGGTCTTTACTACTGGACTAGGTTTTGGGGTTTTCTTCTTCTTTCTTTTTTTATCACTGTCTTTTGATTTCTTTGCGTTATCAGATTTCGGATACTCGTCCTTTTTCTTTTCATTTTCTTTAGACGAATATTCAAATACACTAGCCAATTGACCTTTGATCGAACCGGTAATAAAGACCGAGAGTATGCATGCTGGTGACAGATAAAGAAGCGCCGGTTGAGCTGCCTTGAATGTATGCATTACAATTATTGTTGTGACAAGTCCGACAATATATGAAGCCAAGCATGACTTGAAATATACTGTTGGATACTTGGAGTTTTTATGTGCATTTGGATTCTCTTTCAAATAGAGAGCATGGTCAAGGCGAAGGCATAAAGCGACAAAGATACCTAGGGAACAAATATGTACGATATGAGCTTATTTATATTCCACGAGACAAGACATAAACACATTCGATTATACATGTAACCCTTACCAGGTATGACAATATCGCCTAATCCAAGCATGGTAAATTGCGGTGTTTCAACTGCAATGTCACTTCCTAGACCAAACAAGTGCTTGGGCCACAGAACTTTAACGGGCGCATCAAAGCTCTTAGCCACGGATACCATAACTTCAGTACCAAACACCCAGAATATATCATACAGAAACAACCCAGACAACAAAACCACACCAGTTTTAAATGAATCGAGAGACAGCATCTGAATCCCATTAAACGCAAAGGAAAGTCCCAGAATATTAGAAGCAATCCAGTTCTTTGTCAGTACATAGTATGCCGTCAGAAACACCGATCCCACAGCCACTCCAAGCTGTATAGTAGAGAAACTAAATCTATAAATTTCTGTGCAAACAAGATGAAATCGTTTCGTATGTTTAGACGTCACTATGCGGGAAATCAGCGCCTGTCACATAATCTTTATCAAAATTTTCATACCTTTAGCCTTCCTAGTCACAACGACTTTATACGGATCCAATTTGACATTACCGGTCTTCTTTACGATATATATACCAACGGTAGTAGTTGCAGCAACACCCAAAAAGCCAAAATATGCGGTAACCAAGTAGTTGACATACTCCTTATTAAAGAGTTGAAATATCACATACAATCCAAATAACACTCCAGATCCGATCAAGGGAAACATATACGCATCCTCCGTCGACAGTGATTCGGTAGCAGATTCTTCTTCTGAAGAGGAATCGCTTTCGGGGGCTGCAGATGGTGGCCTAGTTTTACGTTTCTGTATTAGAAAGAATAGGCAGAGAGACCAAAACGGATAAGTTACCACTTGACAAGTTGACAAGAGATGCATATTTACGGTGTGGTATCATATTTGGTCCACTGAAATCCATACAATACATGACAAGAAGTGAGTTTTGTTCTTGTCAATCAACTCTCTTCTCTCGTACAAGACATTTAAATCCGTTGGCCATCTCACCTTTGGCCACTTTATAGCTGCAAACGACCCATAATATATGGGAAGCACTGCCATAATACATAATGCAGTATAAGCTATTAAGAGATTTAGTTCCATGTTTCACTCGTTGGATAGTATTTTCTAAAGATTGTAAAGAAATGGTTGTACAGCTTGGGGTAATGGTTTGTCGAAGCCAAGTAACGACAACCAAACCATTGCCCGGATTAAAATAAGCGTGACAAATAAAAAATTGCCAACATTTTATACTCGGAGAGGCTACTGATTGTCATGAATAGTCATGTGACGTTATAATATTATTGTGGTACGCTTACTTTGAAAAAAGTATTAAAGAATTCTCTACTAGGTGAATAAGACAAACATAACTTATTATATAATACAATAGAGATATCAGAGTCCCGTCGTTACTCATACCGAAGAAATTCCCTAATCTTTCTATAACAATACAACACAGCCCGCATTTCTTGTATTTTACATCCGTATACACGTCACCCTTCCTATTCACATAATAAATAACTATAGTTAAGAGATTATACAGTCCTTCTTCTTCTTCCTCTTTTCCTTTTCAGCTGATGACGCAGTGGTGAATGAACTGCCCGTTGATACTTGAGAACCACTGTCTGTGCTGTTTTTCTGTTGGTATCGACCACCCGTGAAATCGCCTTTCCTTTGTAATTGTGCTTGTAGCTGTTGTTGCCTCAGGGCTTCTTGTTCTCGTTGACGTTTCTTCTGAATCAATTGTTGTCTGTGGAACTCGGCTTCTCGAGCGGCGCCTTGAGCTTCTTCTTCTTGAAGGCTTAACGCTAGAGCATAGCTGGGAATAAAATAGAGTAGTGTAAATATGTTTGTAGTGTATAGGACATAATACGGAATCAACGTGTTTTCTCTTTATAAATTTCACTCTATGCAGTTACGTACTCTTGATCGCCGCCACCAATATTCTCGCTGCTAGCGTTATTGTTTACATCAACATAATCTCCGCCACTAATTTCAGCTGCTTCAAATTGCCAATTAACAAACTCTGAGGCACCCTGGTCGACATCTCTGAGCGATTCCCAAACAATCGATCTCTCGTGGGCAAAACTAGCGTCTGTTACGAGCGTGTAGAGCGTCAAAGTTTGTGGGTGTTTATAAATTGTGGAAAACTTTGTTTGAAGGTGGGAAAAAAGTACCAAAAGATTTACACCGGATTAGTTCTATATAATAACCCGCCACGCGTAGTATCACGTGTAGTATGCGAACAAATAAAAACAAACATCATTGATTTTCAGACTCACATGATTATTCCGGAATAATACACATAAATTTCCGGGGTTTAAGGTCTCTGATAATGTTAGCAGACCATGATAGGTGAGCTGGGTAGCAGTTCTATCAAGAAATTGGGAAACCACAAAGGCTAAAAACGATATAATGATATTAATCAGTCGTAAATGATTCATCAAGCATTAGGAACATATGCGAGATATTCGACATAGTTTACCATCTCTGACAGTCTCTTTATCCTTGGCATCCAACGAGTCACCAGAAGTAAATTTCCCATAGTCTGATCCGCTTGATCTGTCAACGTTTTCAACTACCACACCTTTTCCCAAATGATCTCCGCGAACCACGCATTCTACTGCTCTGTTATAACTCCCACACTTGCCAACCAAAACATCCCAAAATTCCGTTTCCTGTGGGTCAACGACCCACCCATGAACTAAATCTACATTGAAAATATCAAACACGGACAGTTCTGCAGTTGGCTCAAAACCATGGATCGAGTTGAAACGAACATTGACATCCAAGCCAGTTTGCAAGGAGGGGATTATTGAGAGCGCGGTATCAAGCGTGTGCTGATAGTCGTGCAGAGATGGTCTTAATAGCGAGTTGCTATTTTTTTTGTCTCCCCCACTCTTTGGGTTTATCTAAAAAGCATGCGAATGTGGTAAGTCGTCGTCTGAAATACACGGAAAGGCAAAACGCAATTTGGTCGTGAACCTACTTCGGCCTCGTTCTGAGGTATCACCTTCAACAGATAATCGCCCAGTAATTCTACTAAATACTCGTAAGACACGGTAGGTCGATCATATGGCCGTATCTCTATGTCATTGCGTAGTATAAGAACATTACCTTCGTGATGAACATGATCGACAGGAGAATGTGTGGAAAGAATAAAGAAATGAGATAACCAAGATCATCTTGAAGCATGATCACATGAATTTGAAAAAACAACAAGAAAACTTACAGAGTGCCAACAGCGGACATGGTCCGTTTTCTACATTTAAAACGTAAAAAGAAAAAATTAGTATGAAAATGATCATTGGATCGGCTACTTGTATATTATTAGACTTGAAGAATTCGAGATACGTTGACTGGATCCGTACTTGCGTCTTCAAAGAGTCAATGAAGAGGCACCATATTTTCGAGATAAAAAAACCGCACTACTACTCGCAAGACAGCCTACGACCGAGAAGCCCACAAATCTTACCGTTCTGCGTGATAATTTTCACCTTTCTGAGTTTATGTGAACGAATGTCAAACCACTCGAGGGCTTTGAGTTGATATTCGGTGGCTACAGAGTCTTTTTCCGAGTCTTTTGACGTTGTTCTAGTGGGCTTGGGAGGTGTGGTCAACGGAGCAGCTGTGCTATCTGACGCATTAGTGACCGTGTTATCTAAATCAACGGCCTTTCCTTTCCCCTTCAACTCGGTTGAGACGGCAGATGTAGTCGGTTGATCGTATAGTGATTCATTAGCAGCATTCTCGTTTTCTTGACGTTGTGGGGGTGCAGAATTAGTAGAAGAAAGCGCTTCCTCGAGAGAATGTGACGGCTTCGAAGCTGATTCCGGACTTTCTTGGACTCGGAGTTTTGAAAATTCTTTTTCTACGAGTTGCGATTGCTCTGAAAGTTGGTGCTTCTGTTCCGGTGACGGCTCTTGTTCTTGTACCGGTTCCGGTTCCGGTTGTGTCGGGTTTACGAGAGAGGCTTGCTCGATGTCCTCCTGCTGGACAATGTTCTGTTCAATTTCTGTCATTGTTCTAGACAAATGTGTGTGCCCCTTTGAAGGCTAGAATAATTTCCGCGGGCAAGCAACGATCAAAGTAGTACTGTGCAACGAAACACAGTGTAACCGAAGATTTTATTTCTAGAGAATCTTTGCAATAAAGCTTATTTACAGAAAGATTATAGGATCATATATTGACAATATGTTCATTCTTAATACAAGCTTTCTTTTAAAGACGCTTGCAAGGGTTGATTGTTCATTTTAGTTCATCGGTGATACTACATTTACAATATGCTCTCCGCAACTAGCTATTTATTGACCGCCCCGATTTCTAAAATTTGTGCGGGTTTCTTTAAAATAATTGATCAGTCAGCAAACTCGAACAGGATAAATTTCGAGATTGTAAACGCGCGGTAAAATTACATACCATTATTATCTCGATTTCGTGCTGGATTTCCACGACCATCTCGAAACGAGCCTTCTCGTGGTGAATCCTTGTATCCACGATATCCACCTTCTCGATAACCACTTTCTCGATATCCACTTTCTCGATATCCACCTTCTCGATATCCACCATCTTTGCGTGAACCCTGTCCATCTTGGAATCTCATTCCACCCCCACCCCCACCCCCACTCCCGCTCCCCCCTCTATTTCCACGATAATTGTTATTACGAAAACCACTTCTATTTCCCCCCGAATAACCACCGCCCTGTTGTGAAAAGTTGCCTTGCCCTTGTAGCTGTTGATTAGGGTTTGAATGGCTACTAGGCGATAACGGTTGCGTATTAAAATGTCTATCTCCACGCTGAGATTGTAATCTTGACGGTCGTTTACGTTGATGATGAGATTGTCGACGACCTTGATCTCCTGTGCGTCCATCTACAGGTTGCTGCGATAAAGCTTGGGGTTGAGTTTGACCTTGTGCATCATGAGGTATATCCTCCTGCTCATTACCGTTGATAGGCACCATAATTGGTTCTTCGACAGTCGACGTTGGAGCGATTGTGGTCTGGGGTTCCTCAGGCCGACTCGTGAATAAATTGTGTTCGCTGAGAGGTTGAATCGCTGTGGAAAAGTCGGTTGTGTAATGATCCGTTATAACTACAGTGTCTATTGGAACCGAGTCTTCGTGACTTTTGTGTGTCGGTTCGGTAATAGTGGCATTAGTTATTGTAGTTTCCGTTATCTCTACTGTTTGCACTATAGAAGAAAGCCAATTAACATTTGTTCACTTCAACAGCTAAAATGCGAAAGTGACAAGTCAGATAAACACCTTGTTGAACATATTCACTTGTTAATGATCCCGCAGAAGTTTCTTCTGGGACTATAAAGTAAAGCAACATCAGTACGGTAGCAAAGTGGTCATCATACCAATTCAATCGTTCAATAGCGTTAAACTATACCTGTTCCATCATATTCTATAATTGTATCGGTTTCCGTCTGAAATTTCGTCGATTCCTGAAAAGTTTCAGGGTCTTCTTCTATGGGAGGATTCACACTCCAGGCGTGAATATTTGCGTCTATACAGGAAACGTCATAATGTCGTCAATTACGGTCAACCACAAATTGACAATGATATAATAGCCTACTTACACGTTATTCCAGACGAAGTCTCAACATCTGTTTCATTAGATTCAACTCTGGTTATGATTTCATCAACGCCGTCTTTCAACTTTCTTACGTGTGTCATGATTTCATTAATTACTGTCGGCCGTAATTCCTCCTCAACAGAATCCGCCGCCTTATTAGTGAGAAGTTCTCTGAAATGCTCAACGACACTCGTCTCTTTTTCAGATAATGCAACAAACTCCATTTGGGTAAAGTGGACAAGCCGAAAGAATTGCAAAAGAATGATCAAAGACTCGGCATAATTCGCCTGAACAAAGGACGCGTATTAATAAGAACTGTTTGGTGTCATTCCGAGAGTGAATTTTCATGATACTTGCCTCCTGTTCTTTCAGAGCTTGCTCAATAGCCTGTGCACGTTCAGCTTCCTGAGCCTTTTTTTGTCTCAGCTTATTCTTCAATTCCTAAGGAGTGTGACAATTCAGACCGTTTAGAAAAGTTCCCTAATCGGATAAATATTTGAAAAACTGTTCATACTTCTGCTTCAATCACGGCCATACTCTGCAGCACTTCCTCGAACATTCTGATAGTTGTCGAAACTTCGTTTTTCCTCTCCAAATTCTGTAATTGCTCGGCATGAAGTTTCGATTTTCCCTCTGGTCCGGAGTTAAGGAGCGCTTCCGCTTTTTCAATTTTAAGCTGTGTAAGATAAATAATGTTGAGCATATAGTATAATGTTTAGCCAATACACAAGAGTTGTAATAAAAATAAACCATTCAGTTATCAATTGCGCGCGCAACATATGTTGGTAAAAACAGAATATGCCCAAACTTTCTTTTCTCTCTCATATCACACGCTTACCATTCTCTTTTTCTCAGCTCGTAACCTCTTTGCAACTACTTCAATATACTTATTCTTATTAGCAGGGTCTGAACCATTGTCAACGCTCCCATGTGGTATGACCGGAGACTCTAGGTAGGTGAGCGAAACCGGAGATTATTCAATTTCCAATGAATTCTTTTTGATTTTGGTCTTTGTGATCTTGACAAGAAATCATTTCTCACCATTTCCTGAACTGACCGGAACGGACGTTTCGGTATCAATTACACCGTTTACGTTCTTATCGACGGGTGTAGTCGGAACTTCTTGACCGTGTTTGTCACCTTGAGCGTTTTCCACTTTATTGGCAGTTGAGCCCTTGTTTCTGTTCTTTTTACCGGACCTCTTGGAAGGCTGCGGAGAAGCGTGACCGTTTGCTTGTGTAGAGGTAACTGCTGAAGTGGCGTTGGGCATTTTTCGAATACGAGGCGATTTTCTGCAGTCGGAGGATTCAGAACTCACCCCTAGAGTTTTTTTTGGCGTTTATATGATATAATCGATAAATCACGTGGTTTAAGATTTGGTTCACGATTTAGAGCCAATGCCACGCGTTCACATTCTCGAGACGGGTCGTAGGGAATGTCGACGTTGTAAATTTGCAAACCCTGTCCCAAATACCTTTGGACCGTGCCCATTATTTACTTGCTTATCTAGAACGATTTTCGCTGACAGCAAATACAATTTTTTCGAGATAATCGACTTTGACAAGCACTTTTATGTATATTAATCTTAATATACATTGTTACACATAAGCGATGCTTGCTGCTTTGAGAAATGCAGCATTTGAGCAGACATAATGTGTAGCCGTACATGTTAATATAAAGAAAACCTAATTCTGTATTGAGATGTCGTTTTCCATGTATACATGTACAAACTTGTCTAACGACCAGTTATTGTCATAACGTAAAGTATTGAGTAAATTCTACTATAATAACAATTAGCTTTGATTGTTCAAGTAATTTTGAGTGGTTCTATATGCTATATTATACTGTATTTGAGAAATATCAAATTTTTAAGCCAAAGTTAATATCAACTTACTTTTTTTACTTTTTAATTATAGTTCGAATTTAATAGCTAGCCCAGAGATAGTATTAATAATTTATTTTTAGCTTTACGAGTATTTCAAAACATATACAAATTTGATGTACAGTTTAAAATCGCAACTATTTTTTATTTTTATTAGCTCCAACAGCTTGTTTAATATGTGACTATCATTCCTTAATGTTGCGTCGTTTTCATCGCGTCGGTGTGTTTTTCCGACAGGGAAATGTTACCAGATTTAACTTCGTATCCCGATCTTATTCTAGTGATTCTGCAATTAAAACTGAATTTAAATTTGCAAGCGATCTAATTTTTATAGTATTTATGCGCGCTCCTACTCGTATTTAAATAGGGAAAACTTATTCTATTGCAGAATTTTTTCTCTATTATAAATTAAATCAGAAGTTTTCCTGATTGATTTTTTCCCCCGCTTTCCTTATTTCTCTCAATAACTCTTCTTTTAATTTTGATTTTTTTTCTCTCTGTACCTCTTCTTTCCCTTTCCAATGCTTCTAACTCTCTTTTATTACAAAAATTTTTAACAGCTGCTTTAAAACATTACGTTAAGAACGTGCTAGGTATTAGTTTGCATAAAATTAGTAGTGTATTTCTTACTTGAGCAGACGTTCTGTAATTTAAACCCAGAAAAAGCAAAAACAGAACAGCGAAATTCAAGTAAAAGTCTGTCACTGAATTAAAAACCCCAGTTTATGAGGAATGGTACATGTATGTAAAAAATGTGGACAAAAGTACAAACCAACTGCTGTTAAAACCAAATAGTGTTTTAATTGACACTCATTAGCCTCTGAATTGATATTTCGACTAGTCAGGTAACTATCACCTGTCGCTAATTAACTAACTAACAAAATTGTTCAATAATTAATTATGAGCTCTTTTTTATCAACTAATAATTCGAATATTTTACAACTTGGGTGAGCCGTTTATTGGTATATCCGGCCAAATATTTAATGTCACAACGATGAAAAAAGTGGTCATTCGAGTAGTTAGTTTAATATATTCGGTAGATAGTAATGGGCTAATTCAAGTTATCGTCACAAACATAACATAGACAACATAGTATTTTGAATACTTTAGCGACACTGACTCGGAAAATCGGAACGCATTCAAAATTCTAAGCTGGTTATGGCGTTTGTTTTGAAACGCTTGTATGCAGGAAAACATCAACAATCTGGTTGATGCATACAATTGTCCTACAACGTGACTTCCATGATGCTACAGGCAAGATATAAACGCAAGCATACACGTTCTTCTTCAAAAATTCATCTATTTGTGTTATCACCAAAAGCCATGCATAATGTTATGAGCTACTATACTGCTGCTCTGCCATCCATCAGATTCAGAATAGTGCCAGATTTTGCAGCTTTTCCCCCTTTCTTGTAGTATACAAAAATCGCGAATTGTAAAAAGCGTTTATAGCTGAAAGACATGTAATTACTGCAAGTATGCGACACGTACCAATTCATAAACGTAAAACCATTTTTGAAATTTAGTCCTTCATTGTTACTCAATACTGGACCATGTATTTAAAGATTGTGTAAAGAAATTAACTAGTTTTATTGTCTTTATTTCCCTGTCTG